GGTCCCCTCCTGGAGCCTGGTGAGGCTGGCAGGTCCCTCCCGGAGCCTGGTGAGGCTGGCAGGTCCCCTCCCGGAGCCTGGTGAGGCTGGCAAGTCCCTTCCCGGAGCCTGGTGAGGATGGCAGGTCCCCTTCTGGAGCCTGGTGAGGATGGCAGGTCCCCTCCTGGAGCCTGGTGAGGCTGGCAGGTCCCTTCCTGGAGCCTGGTGAGGCTGGCAGGTCCCTCCTGGAGCAGGTTCCTGAGCCTATTGAGCTCTTATCATGTCTTCATATGAAATCGTCAATAGAGTTAGCCTCCACTACACCATTTCTTAGTTCATTCCATTTATTAAGAATTTGTTCAGTGTTGGATGTGTCTGTGGCTCATTTGGGTCCCCACTTTCCACCTGTGCCCCCTTGTGCGAGCACCACCCGTGTTAAATAATATCTTTATCTACCCTGTCAATTCCCTTCATAATTTTATAGGTGGTAATTATATCTTCCCTAACTCTTTTTATCTTCCAGTGAAGAGGTTTATTTCCAGTAGTCTTTCCATTAACTCCTACCTGTCATTTCCTCACTAGTCTAGAAGTATACCTCTCAACTTTCGTTAACTTCACCTTGTACTTGACTAGATAATGATGCCTCGCTGAAGCCGTATACTTCAAGAATCGTGTAACATATATGGTATATAAGGTTCTGAATAATTCATTGTACTAATTTTTAAAGGTAGTTCCTATGTTGGACAGTCTAACATATGTCCCTGATGATCTCCTCTTCACATGGGCTTCGGTGTCATATCAATCCCCAATTTTTTCTCAAAATCCAGTTCTTGAATAAAATTCGTGGTGTGGCACCATGTACCCAGCCTCCTGCTCCCTGCACTTAGTTTAATTATTCTACATATAAACGAGTTAAACCCTGACAGTTATTATTTTGTACCATTCCTTCAGTTCTCCAGAGAACTATTAGCAAACATTTAGTGGAATGAGTCTCTTCCTTCTGATAGGTCATCTTTATCAAAAAATTCAACTTCTGTTTGTCGAGGGTCGGAGATCTGAGGCTTGGAGCTAACCTCGCCCAACTTTTCAGGATGACGCATGGATGGTAGGGGAATGTCATGGACGAGTCGGGTCCTATTGCGACTTCTGTATGTCTGAAATAATGGGTTATCCAGAGTTTTTAAACAGTTTTTAGCTGGTTATTGTATTGCCTGTTCAAAAAAAGAGTGTGGAGAGGTAGGGAAAGGGTGATATGCAGAGTTGGAGAAGAGGGAGTGGGGATAGAAAGAAGGAAAAATAGGAGAAGAGAAGGAGAGAGGAGAAGAGCAGGAAAGGAAGAGACAGGTACTGGGACACCGCCCGGTAGTTTACATATATGTGAAACAGGATAGGTACTATTGGCGAACTGTGTTACTTGCTGGCAACATCTCGACGCCGAGGGCTCGGTCCGACCGTCAGCTGGGACACTCCAGCATCCTGCAAGTTATACACAAATACTTATCTACAGACTCACTCTCAGGTTAAACTACTAGCCGAACTCTACACAAATAGAGACCTGAGACGACTAGGCCACGATATGGTCAAAAGAATTGCATGCTGGGATTCCAGTAGTAATTTTATGATTACCAAACCACAACTTAGAAGATGGAGAAGCGACGACGTTTCGGTCCGTTCTGGGCCATTATAAAGTCGTGTAATTTTTAATAATTTAGCAGTAGTAATTTTCTGTAATTCAAATTCTGCTCTTGGAGCACTTGAAAACTTCTGCAAGATCGACAGAGTCTTATAATAGCAAGTAGGAAAAACTTGCTTGCACCAAAATAACTCGCCATTATAACCAAGACGGCTGCTAAATTTGCATGCAACAAAACACGAAGTTGAACAATACTCGTGTATCCTAATCTCTATTGTTAAAACTATATTGCTCAAACAATGGGGTCTGATAAGAGATAAATTATACTCTCGGAGGCCTGAAACACTACTGGGAAAAGTTAGGATTTGTTTAGTTCTGATATAAAATGCGCAGTATGGAACCTTTAGAAACAATGCGACATTAGCGCCGGATAATGTCGCTGTGTCGTTAGATCGACGATGTCGATAATGAGCCAATGCGCCGGGATGAGGTTGGGTTTGTGTCACCTGTGGCAGGTGGTTGGATGTGATAAATCTCCCCAACCTGAGCCCTCCAAGAGTATACTCTGTGAGCAGGAACTGGGTCATGATCGCTCACACTATATTATTAAATGTCCAGTCACAAGACCCTTCTGACCACCCTGTATGAGCTACCTGCAGTTTTGCAATTACTTCATCTACCTGTGTTTTTACTACATGATCTTAATGCAGCCCTGTGTGACTAACGGCTGTGACTCACACTATGTAACCTTTGTATAGTCTACGATACCTGCATGAAACGCCATTTATTGTAGTCTGTTATTAACACACAAATAATTAAGCTTGGCCCACGGAGTATATCCGACACGTGACACGTGACACATGACACGTGACACGTGACACCCACCACACACCCCAGGGGCACGAGCATGTGTATTCACCTAGTTGTGCTTGCTTCCTTCATTGAGCTTTAGCTCTTTGGTCCGCCTCTCAACCGTCAATCAACTGAGCGTGTGCGATTGACGGCTCTCTCTCTCTCTCTCGCGCTCTCGCGCTCTCGCGCTCTCGCACTCTAGCGCTCTAGCGCTCTAGCGCTCTAGCGCTCTAGCGCGCTCTCGCGCTCTCGCGCTCTCGCGCTCTCGCTCTCTCGCTCTCTCGCTCTCTCGCTCTCTCGCTCTCTCGCTCTCTCGCTCTCGCTCTCGCTCTCGCTCTCGCTCTCGCTCTCTCTCTCTCTCTCTCTCTCTCTCTCTCTCTCTCTCACATACACACACACACACACACACACACACACACGCACACACACACAGAGTTATTTACTGTAGGGTGTATAACAGTCCGCTCTGATCTGGGTTAATAGTAGAGCCATTTTTCTAAATTAGGAACTTTTTCTACTAACTAGAGACAACTGCTGCCGCTCCAGCTTCATGTTAGTGGACATTACGCGGAGTCGGGCGACTATTGGGACACAGGCCTCCTACAGCCTGCTTTATTTTTACCACAGACGTTACCAAACATTTACATTTCTTACCAGTATTAAGAGTATTCATTTCCTTCCGTCCCCCAAGGACAGGGTTAGAGAGGTGTTCGGCATCACTTGGTGTAGTGAGACACAACCACATGCGGCGACTGTAGTGCTTGTACAGTGTTGACCAGCAGGCATTACTTCTCGCCTCTCTTACACACACAGTGATCACTTCTCTTATATACAGTGCCGAGGGTTATGGCCTCTTCCATACTAGTGGTGCTTCCTCCATACCAATGGTGCTTCCTCCATACCAGTGGTGCTTCCTCCATACCAGTGGTACTTCCTCCATCTTTACCCCTATCTGGCTCTGCTATCTACGCTCAAAACAATAAACTTTAGTATGAATTTGACGAAGTATGAGTCAATTACGGTCCGGCAGTAAAGTTATCACAGCAAATTACCCGGCAAGACCTTTCATTGGAAAGTTCAGGGGTTCCTACAACGATGGTCAGCCTTCGTGTGGCTCAGCTGACCCCGCTGACCGCCCCGTCCGGCCCCTGGCTACCTTCAGCAGGCGGCCCTCACCGCCCCGTCCGGCCCCTGGCTACCTGCAGCAGGCGGCCCTCACCGCTCCGTCCGGCCCTTGGCTACCTGCAGCAGGCGGCCCTCACCGCCCCGTCCGGCCCCTGGCTACCTCCAGCAGGCGGCCCTCACCGCTCAGGGACTGAAGTGTGTGAGGTGAATGTTACCGGCGCGGGAGCTGCTCGGAATATTCTCATTAACGGAGCACACGCCGGACTGGGATTTTTTTTTTTAGGTAAATACTTACGTAACTTTCATAAAGGTGTACATTATTCAGGGATTTCATTGACCTGTTTTTGAATATTATGATGAAAGTGTGACTTGCTTGTGTGTGTGGGAAGGATGCTGAGTGACTGAGTTTTTGCATTAAAGGGAAGAAAACCCGGGGATCTCCAGCGTGAGTCAAAGATAAGTTATTTTTGGCCTCACTATTCCTGCACTAACTTTGTTGTTAGTGCAGATTGTTGCTAACATTCCAACTGTGGGTGAGGCACCATTCCTTCCACCCGTCCGTTCCCAAATCCTTATCCTGATGCCTTCCAAGTGCTAAATTGTCGTAATGGCTTTGCGCTTCCCCTGATAATTCCTTTCCTTTCCAACTAAAAATGGCTCTTGCCTCATCAGAGTGATTTTGTTAGCATAACTCACTATCACTAACATCCCATCTTATCTGAAACCCATTCATCAAGTATCGCATGTATCAGGAAGGAGGCAGTGAGGAACGTGCTCTGGTCTCACTCACTCCGGGCCCCTCAGGACGCTACTCATGGGTAACACATCAACGTGTCATGGCAATGGTAAATCCAGTTCTTGGCTCAGTTGCAGAGTCGCTCCTGACAGGAATCGTAACGTTTAACTTCCTCGCTGGTTTCATTCCTGTCTAAATCAAACTGTTTTTCATTGGTACATCTCTATGTGGCCTGAAAAAAAAGAATGGAGGGATTAGACCCATTGCCGTTGGTATAGCCCTTCACCGACTAGATACAAAGGCTACTGTCAGAAGTATTCGAATGGCATCAGCCACCATGCTGCAACCCAACCAGCTGGGGTTCGGGATCCCCCAAGGCAGTGAAGCAGCAGCATATGCTGCACGAGCCAATACCACTTCTCTCATCGAAGACAAGGCAGTAGTAAAATTCGATGTTGGAAACGCTTTCAACTCCTCAAAAAGTAAGCAGTTCTCAAAGCAGTCGAAGAACATTGCGCAAGCATTCTTCCCTTTATTTATGCACAAACTCATCTCAGCAGAGGGAATTCGGCAGAGAGACGCCTTGCACTATTACTTTCTACATAGTGCTAGTCCTCAGAGTACATCTATTACCCTGAGCAACGAACTGCCCCGTCAAACAACATAGATAGTTATCTAGACATTTGTGGTAATCTGAAAGTATATTAAAAGCATATTTATTTTTATCAATGTAAATGCGCTGTACTTCACAGTTGTAGATTGATAATTTTTCGGCTTTGCGGCCTTGCCTGGTGGAGGCCCCCCATATCCCAGTGCAATGTGATGATTACCATGATCGCATTTAAGTCTCTCACGCAGGTGTCATGAGCTCACAAATATCTCGCTCACTGTTGCTATTGTTGTTAGCGACCAGTTGAGCTGGTAGCCTGTATCATGACCAGAAGACTCAGGCTCCGTGGGTGCTGACAGAGTAATAGGTGTAGACCAAGATGCCTCGTTGGCACCTATGCTATCTTCCTTATTTTTGGTTTGTGGAACCTTAGGTTTATTATTAAGCTTTAGTTTTTTAGCTTGTTTAATTTTGTCTGGGCTGGTCTGACTTGAGTTTTCAGGTGGTTTTATCTAATCAATAGTCCACATGAGATTAATGGCTGATTTTAGACCATCGATCATTTCCCTCATTGTAAGAAAATCCTTTTCTTAAGAAAGTCATTCTTAAGATGTTAGCACACCGTTGTTAGAACATCAGTGGAATTACCGCTATATGATTAAATTTAATAGCCTCTCCATTAAATAGTGGTGGTATTTGTGTGACTGTGATGAGGGAACTTACAATGCCTGAACCTCCAACCTGAAACTTTACAAGGAGTCTGCATTCTTACTTGGTGGCAGAAAGTCTTTAAAATTATTATGTTAGGTTAGCGACAAGCACTAATGGGTTACATAAATTGTCTTTCAATAGCTTAACCGCAATGTCATACCAGTCGTGTGCGAGACTCAAATTCAGAGTCACAGACGAGGCCTCTTCCTAAATTGCTGCTCTTACAAATAGGTCAACTTGGTCATGTTATTGATGTTAGTCTTATTGGTGTCTGGGGGTTTATGTAAAACTTTGAATGACTTCAGGAGAGGCCTCCAGACTTCCTGTCGATCAAGAAGAGTCCCAGGTTGTATACCTGTTAACATATCAAGGTGGTACAGTGGTAGAGGTTTCGGCTGGCAGTTCGCTAGTTAAGGGTACGAGTCACGTAAGAGCTTCCGTTGATTTTCCTCATTTATATTAAAGGTTTCTCATTTTATATTTATTAAGATGAGGTTGAATTTATATTAAAATTTTGATAAGCAAAATCTGGTGAAGCTAGATTTATCTGTTTAACGTGAGGGTGAAATGTATACACTTAGAGCAGATGGTATTGAGCTGTTAACGCTCTGCTATTGCTAGTTGTGGTGCCCAGCGGCCGCACTGCTTGTCAACAGAAAAGTTGGTGGTTGTAACAAGTGTACCAAAGTCGAGGGTATAGCCTGAAGAGGCTAGTCATGTTCACCTTAAGTAATTAAGTAACAACATTTTAAGACTACTAAGTAACATTAAGACATTGTCCAATAAGTCGTCCACAGTATTCTCTTCAGTCTCTCATGAACTACATCATACTTTTGTCTAACTCAGATTACTTCAATGTTATTCTTTCCTTCATAATACTGAAAATGTAAATAATTTGTCAAACTATTTATGTAATAAGAGAGAGCGGGTAGTAAGGATAAGAGAGAGCGGGTAGTAAGGAAGACGGGTATAATAACATCGACGAGAGGAGTGTGCAATGACCACATCAGGAGGGAGGGAATTATCAGGGGGAAAGCGCCAAGCCATTACGATTATATAGCACTGGGAATTAGGGGTCAGGATAAGGATTTGGGATGGGACGGTGGCCCAAGCACTTGGACGGTCGGGGAGGGATTGAACACCGACCTGCACGAAACGAGACCGTCGCTCTACCGTCCAGCCCAGATGATTGGACTGGACCGAGCCCATTTATGCTCCACATCAGAAGCATAAATACGGTTTATCCAAATTTCCTGACCAACACACACACGATATGAAGCTAACTAGTACTGCGAGGTTGTGAAACTGTGGCACACTCCTTCGTGCGCACAATTAGGTGAATAAAGAATTGCGAGAGTAGAAGCATCCATCACCGTTGTAATGGTGGCGGTCACCTCCACTATCATCAACTGTGCCAGAGCTCGGGGGGAACTAGTAAGTGTTACCCGGGCTGGTTATAAAGAGGTCGGGAGAACATTGTGTCATTTTGTGGGCGAGTGAAGGCCGGGAGCCCAGCTTCGCCTTCTGCATATTAATGAACCAACACGCAGGGGATCCTGTGCCACCTGTGCTGCCTTCCTCTTGGTGCTCCTGCTCCTCCCACACACACGACACCCAAGGAGCACGTGACCTGCACCGTAGTAACAGAGCACATGTTTACTCGCCTAGCTGTACTTGCGGGGGTTGAGCTCCGGCTCTTTGATCCCGCCTCACACTGTCAATCAAATGGTGTACAGGTTACTGAGCCTACTGCGCTCTATCATATCTACATTTGAAACTGTGTATGGAGTAAGCCTCCACCACATCACTGCCAATTGTAATTTCATTTGTTGCATTCCGTTTGTTAACTACTCTGACACTGAAAAAAATATTTTTAATGTCTCTATAGGTCATTTGGGTACTTAGTACCCACCTGCATACCGATGTTCGTATTCCACTCATTCTAAACAGTTTGTCTTTTTCCACCCTGTCAAATCGTCGGAGAATTTTGTAGGTGGTAATGCAACCCGTTCTCGCACTTCCTAATCGTCAATATCTTGCTTATGAATAAGAGCATATGTGACATACTAATTTATTGTGAATATTTGAGTTTACCTTGAAAAGCTGAATAGAAAACCCACAACCTAACCTAACCTTCTTAGTATGCTAAGATATTACAATTAGTACTGAACCTATACCTATATTGATATTACACTTTTATAAAAATAATAAAACAAAACTAAAATATTTAAATAAATTGTAAAGTAACTCAGGATATTGTCAAATTTTGTATAAAAATCTCTATTGTTTAATAAAACTAAGAGAAAAAGTTAGTGCCTTGAAAAAGAAATGTGGGTTGGAATATGTCACATATGTACTTATTTATAAGCAAAATAGTGACTATAAGTAATAAGTCATATATGTGTTCTGTCTTGTGCGAGAGCAGGTTGCAACGGTAATCAGGTCTACCCTGATTCTTCAGGCTTCCAGGTACGTAAGGCTTCGCTCCCGTAGCTTTTCCTAGTAATTCATACCTTTCAGTTTTGGGACAAGTCTGGTAGCATACCTCGGAATTTTCTCTAACATTGTCTTGTGTCTAACTAGGTATAGACGCCACGCTGGAGCTGCATACTCCAGGATTGGTCTGACATAAGTGGTATACAAAGTTTTGAATGATTCCTTACGCAAGTTTCTAAAGGCAGTTCTCATGTTGGCCAATGATATTACACCGAACCTGGGGATAGGTTCGGTGTGATATCAACCCCAAGATCTTTCACTATAATTGACTCTTTCAGGATTTCACCTCACATATGGTACCTTGTGTTCAGCCTCGTGCTCCCTTCACCTAATTTAATTTTTCACCTACTTTCACCTAATGTCTGAACGATCAGGTGATAAGGCTATACAAAAGGGAGCAACTGGAGTTAAGTGCCTCAAGAAAACGTACATTCTCCTTGAAAAGACAAAACGAAACTAAAATGAAACCAGATGAAGATTGGGCTGGATGTTATACAAAGATATTTGGGCTGGATGTTATACAAAGATGTTTGGGCTGGATGTTATACACAATACAGGTCCAGATAAAATATCGCCTTGGTAATTAATGAAACTGAAACACTGTAAGACCTCAGTGGTTCAGTGTCACAGGGTGCTGCCTCCACCACACACCTCCCAGTGGTCCAGTGTCACAGGGTGCTGCCTCCACCACACACCTCCCAGTGGTCCAGTGTCACAGGGTGCTGCCTCCACCACACACCTCCCAGTGGTCCAGTGTCACAGGGTGCTGCCTCCACCACACACCTCCCAGTGGTCCAGTGTCACACGGTGCTGCCTCCACCACACACCTCCCAGTGGTCCAGTGTCACAGGGTGCTGCCTCCACCACACACCTCCCAGTGGTCCAGTGTCACACGGTGCTGCCTCCACCACACACCTCCCAGTGGTCCAGTGTCACAGGGTGCTGCCTCCACCACACACCTCCCAGTGGTTCAGTGCCACAGGGTGCTGCCTCCACCACACACCTCCCAGTGGTCCAGTGTCACAGGGTGCTGCCTCCACCACACCTCCCAGTGGTCCAGTGTCACAGGGTGCTGCCTCCACCACACACCTCCCAGTGGTTCAGTGACACAGGGTGCTGCCTCCACCACACACCTCCCAGTGGTCCAGTGTCACAGGGTGCTGCCTCCACCACACACCTCCCAGTGGTTCAGTGACACAGGGTGTTGCCTCCACCACACACCTCCCAGTGGTCCAGTGTCACAGGGTGCTGCCTCCGCCACACCTCCCAGTGGTTCAGTGCCACTGGGTGCTGCCTCCACCACACACCTCCCAGTGGTCCAGTGTCACAGGGTGCTGCCTCCACCACACCTCCCAGTGGTCCAGTGTCACAGGGTGCTGCCTCCACCACACCTCCCAGTGGTCCAGTGTCACAGGGTGCTGCCTCCACCACACCTCCCAGTGGTCCAGTGTCACACGGTGCTGCCTCCACCACACACCTCCCAGTGGTCCAGTGTCACAGGGTGCTGCCTCCACCACACACCTCCCAGTGGTCCAGTGTCACACGGTGCTGCCTCCACCCACACCTCCCAGTGGTCCAGTGTCACACGGTGCTGCCTCCACCACACACCTCCCAGTGGTCCAGTGTCACAGGGTGCTGCCTCCGCCACACCTCCCAGTGGTTCAGTGCCACAGGGTGCTGCCTCCACCACACACCTCCCAGTGGTCCAGTGTCACAGGGTGCTGCCTCCACCACACACCTCCCAGTGGTCCAGTGTCACACGGTGCTGCCTCCACCACACACCTCCCAGTGGTCCAGTGTCACACGGTGCTGCCTCCACCACACACCTCCCAGTGGTCCAGTGTCACAGGGTGCTGCCTCCGCCACACCTCCCAGTGGTTCAGTGCCACAGGGTGCTGCCTCCACTACAACTGGCACTGGAGTTGACTACTACAATACACACTGTTACCACGTCCTGTACCTCCCTTTGTGTCGCAGGTAACGAGTAGAACAATGATCAAGAAGCAAAACTTCCCTGTATAAGAACGTCGAGGTTGAGAACATGATGAGCAACATCTTGGCGCCCATCACTGTTAGCTTCCGAGACACTAACTGACGAGGAGGCTCTTGTTGCTTCTTATACCTTACTGAACGCAAAATTTATCTTGTGTCTCGGCTAGCAAAATCTAACTGGTTGGATCGATCTTTCTTGTATAATAACTTGAGTGTTGGTAGAAACCCTTCAGGGCTGGTCATAGAGCCAGCAAACTTGGAACGTTATCTAATGAGACAAAAGGAAGACTGAAGTCAAATTTTGTGAACATAT